TGGGGCGAGCAGACGGGCTCTTCCCGCCAGCTGGGGCTCAGGCTAGTGGGGAGGGGCCCTTCCCTGCTGGCAGCGTCAGGGTTTGGGGAGAGAGCTGCCCCTGCACAGGGCTTAGTGGGGAGCCGCGCCTGTCCCCAGACTGCACCCGACCAGCCCTCGCACCGTAAGGGGGAGCTGAGCTGCACAATTAGCTGAGTCGCCGGCGGGGGCAGGGGAGGCAGAGCCGGCTCTTTCCCACCGGTCAGCACCGAGTCACAAGCAGCGCAGCCGGCTCTGACTCAGCAGCAGGTTCCCCATTTTCCTCGGCCCCTCGGGGTCGGGACGACGGGCCTGGGTCGATTCCGAGGAAAGGGCTGAGTCCCGCCCCCGCCGGATCTCTGCAGCCGGGGTGACGCTATCGCCGCCTAGTACAGACCAAAACCACCGTGGGGGCAAGGGAAGAGCCAGGGGGCAGGGCAGCCGTGTCGCCTCCCTCAGGATCCCCACGCTCAGCGCAGGCCTGGGAGCCAAAGTGCAAGAGATGGGGGAAGGGAGCTGGAGCCTGTGACCTCCCTGACAAGTGCCTGGGGCCAGGTGTGTCACTCAGCCGGCAGCTGCCGGCTGTTACAGGAAGCCTCAGCCAGCTTTCTCCTGGTGGGCTGCTGGCATGTTTTGCTTGGCACGGGCGGGGAGACGGTCACACCCCGGGCAGGAAACCCGCTTCCACCTCTCTGCACCCTGCTCGCATGACGCGCTCGTCTCCCGTCGGGGGCAGAGACGAGAAGAGAGCCCAAGAGTGCCGACTGCCCCGCCACGGGCCGTAATGCCGAATAAGAGGGGAGTTCGCAGGAGCTGGAGGGACTGAGGTTCGGGAAACGTAAGAGGCCGTGTCAGGTTAGTGATCTTCCCTCGCTCGTCTCAGAGGAGCGGGCGAGGTGCTTTACAAAGGCAGTCCATCTCGTCAGCTTGTTTTACAGGTGGGGAAACTGAGGCCCGGGAGGGCCGTGACTTGCCTGAGGTCACCCGACAGGCCGGTGGCAGAGCTGGACCAGAACCCCCTCTCCTGTGCCCTGTCCACCGGGCCACTTCGATTCCAGGCCTGCGGACATTTAGCTGGTTATTGTCTGAGCTGCCTGAGGGGTTTGAACTCCCAGCCAGCGGGAGCGGAGTGCCCAAAGCCCTAAGGAGGCTTTTCAAATCTCCTTCTCCATCCAGTTCACTCCCCCTGCCGCGGCCCTCCCCTCCTCTGGGCCAAGCCAGGCTGGCAGGGCCGTTTCCCTCTGGTTCCTGGCAGTGTCACCCCGGCACGGCTGCGGTGCTCGGCCGCAGAGCACCCGCGGGGGCAGGACTCAGCCCCT